CCTTGCACCTCCTGCAGCTGCGACTCCAGACGCCGCCGCCTCTGCTCGCCTTCCTGGCGCGAGGTCTGCAGGCTGCTCAGCTCCGCCCTCAGCTCCGATACCTCGGCCTCCAGAGCCAGCCTCATCTTCTCCCACGCACCTTTGCCCTGGGGGGTGGTGCAGATGAGCGAGGGTGCAGAGTCCACCTTGTGCCCACCCCAGGGCCTTTGCACAGGCTGGGGCTCACCCCCCCCAGAGGGTTCATCCTCCCCTCTCTCGGCTTCTACGGCAGTCGGAGTCGCCGCTCCAGGACAGCGCAGGTGCTCAGGGAGGCAGCGTGGGTGGCTGTGCTCCCTGCTGGGTCCCAACCCACCCGTCGCGCTTGCTCCAGCTGCTCTGTCAGCTCCCCCAGCGCCTGTCCGTGCCGTTGCCTCAGCTCCTGCACTGCCACCTCGTGAACCCGGGTCTCCTCCTCCAGTGTCTTCTTCAGCTCTGTCACCTCCTGTTCTCTCTTGGTCCTTTCATCGGGGAGAATGAAGGGAACAGAATTTCAGAATTGAGGACTGAGAGACAGGAGAGCTGGTTATGGCTCCTTTTCTTGCTTGCTCCAAGGATGTATTCAACTCTTTTTTTTTGTACTGGGGATCAAACTTGGGTCCTTGCATCTGCGAGGCAGGTGGCGGAACCATTGAGCTAAATCGCCGGCCCCCTTCTCTGTATTTTTTAAAGAGATCTGGGGACTGGTACTACAGGGGAGTGTGGCTTTGAAGTTGAACTCCTACTCATCCTTCAAAGCCCTATTTGAAAGCCTCCCCCAAGGAAATCTTCTCAACGTTGGTTTAGGAGCCTTCGCTTATAACCTCAAATGCCCTGTGTTACTCCGCTCCACTGAAGCACCTGCTGCGCTGGACAGAACCTGTCTCTGCCAGAATCTGCCTCCTCCTCCAAGGTTCTCGGGGGTGATGCCTGAGTCCCACTCATCTCTCTTCCCAGAGCTGGTACCAAAGAACAATTCTTTCAGGGGGTGACCAGGGATCGAACTTGGGAACCTTGCGCTTGCAAGGCAGGCAGAGAACCACTGCGCTAAACGCCAGCCTGCAGCACGATCATTGTGACGACTAGATCCTTGTGAAAAGACCTTCCCCGGCCGCCCGCCGCGCCCTGC